GGGTCCGTGCCTCCCCGCGCTGCTCTCCCGCCGTCAGCATGAAGGTCGAGTTTGCCCCCATCAACGTCCCCCTAAAGAGAAGGATCCAGACAGTCGCCGTGCTGCAGTGGATCTTCTCCTTCCTCCTGCTGGGTAACAGCCTTCCTCCTTCCTGCCCTTGCCCCAGAGAGAAAAGGGAAAGAATCAGCTTTTTCCTTAACCGGCGTCACCCGTGGGCATCGGTCTGTGTCACCCTGTGGTTCCGTGTGGGAGGAGAGGTGGCCGGGCGAGCAGCGGGCGGGCAAGAGCATCGCACTTCTGGGCTTGGGCCTTCTCTTCCCTGAAGGCTTTGGATGGCTTTTTCTCTTTTTTTTGGGGGGGTCTATTTCTTTCCACGGGTTCTGTTTCAAATATGATCTTAAAAAGCTAGTGACCGTGTCTTTTCATTGAGATGCCCACTAGATTTCTGACAACTAACAACTTTTTATTGAATGTGAGCATAAAGGCTGGTACATGACTAATGCTGTTTTCATTACTGATTTTGTAAAATAACTTTATATACTGTAGTTCAATAAAATGCTCATTTAACTAGGTGACAAAAATTAATAAGGATTGACAGTGAACTGGCTTAAATGCAGCCACTTCCGTAAATGTATGAAAAAGGTCCTCACTTGCTTTAAGAAAGCATTCCTAACAATTTTACTTGGTAAACTTTTTCCACTGATTATTCCTCTATAGGGAATTTTCCTAATACCTTAATAGACTCCTATCACTAAATATCTATTCACAGCAGCAAATCTTATTCTCATGGGTAGTTATCTTGAACTTGATAAAATGAGTCACTTGATAAGGTAAGCTAAGCGTTAACTCTCTGGGGCCAGATCCATGGATTGTGTAAATTGGCGAACGGTTATTGAATAGTCTGTGTGGAACAAAACTGTTCTGAGGTGTAAAGCGACTGACTACCTGTGCGTTACTGGAAACGGTGGAACGTGTTATAATCACCTGTGCTTTAGGACTTAAAAGGAGAAGAGGAATGTGCGCGTATCTTCCTTGTATATCTTGCAGATACATTATCATTCAGATGGTGGTCTGATGTCTTTCAGACGATTTTTTTTTAGGTTGTTAGCCCACACATACAAGATTCAGGTATGTGGGGGAAGCATGGAGGGTATGAAGCACCTTCTCAGATTTCTCCTTAGCACTTGGCTGGTTTATGTTACCTCTAAATTATATGTGGTTGGACTATAAACAGTTCATGTCTGTGGCTACATTGTAAATAGCCTGTGCTTTTAATTTTCTGTTATTGAATTAGAACTTGGCATATCCCATTATTCCAGTATAATGATAATTCAGTGGAAGTTCAGTGGCAGTGGCATTGGAAACAATTTTTATCCTAGCCTGGTTGGTAACAATGCTGCTGCAGAAAATCATGTTCTTCTGTCCTTACAAGAAGTGATTGGGCTGCAGAAAATCCACTTTTGCTGCAGTTCAGTGGGAGAAGCAGGCAGCTGTCTTCTGCAGCTGGCGCTGCCTGGGAATAAACATCAAGGAAAATCAACAAGGAAGTGGTCTTACGGCAGGTTACATTGAACATAGTGAGTGCACGTGATCATGAAAAAATCTGTTTGCAAGAATGCTCAAAGTTTGGTGGACAAATTGATTCTAATAATAATAATCTGCTTGTGCTTTCATGGGGCTGTTTATCTTTAGAGCTATCCAAGGTCACCTTGTCATTTTGTAGGTGTACCCTTTCAGTCGTAGGACAGTCGGAGCGATCTGGCCAAAAAGTTTCACTTAGCTCCAGGAAAATTCAGATGGCTGAATCCTAAATGGCTGAAAGAAGTGAAAAATGGGTTGGTTTCTGACGTTCTGGATTGCCATTATGTCTGGATTTTTCAGCCTTTTTTTTTTTTGCCTGCTGAGCAGACAAAGTATGGAAACATTGTTTGTAAGCTCTTGAATTCAAAAGTGACACTTTCAAATCACACAGGGGATGCCCCAGTACAAGTGAAATACTGTGTGAATTCATCACAGGATAGGTTGGAGGGGTAGGCGTTGTTTGGGGGTTGGTATACGGCTGGAATTAGCTTATGCCAAGCAAGATCTTCTGTAGGTTCAGTCTTTCTTATGTAAAAAGTATCTGCATGTGAAAACATGAACAGACAAGGCCACATGATAACTAATGATTCATATTATAGGTCTAGGGATTCTCTTTAGAGCAGTGCATAAATAGGGTACTGGCTTAGTCCCTAAAGTTGTCCATCTGGGTGTGTGGTGAGGTGCCATAGCTTAAGAAAACGGACTGACAGGACTAACAGATAAAGTAAGATAACTCTAAAAGTTAGTGCCCTGAAAGACAAAAGCTGAATCGGGTAATGATATCCTTTAAATCTGGGAAGTGACATGTGAAAACATGATTTGTCACACAGAGTAAGCCGTAAGGGGAACGTGAGTCTGTTACAACTTAGAATCCATACTGTGACTTGGATAGAAGACTCTGAAAATCAAGCATTGGTTTTATCTTGATTCTATGATCTTCCTGGCCGAGACCCTTAAGAGTAGCTGAATTTAATGTAAAAAGCACATTGTGTTGGTCTTTGCCCCTTGCTCTCCAGGCTTGCTTTGTTGTAATGCTGCATGGTTTTCTGAGACTGTGGAATTGATGATTGAAAATGCCCTATTGCTTGTGTGACTAAAGGCTACTTACAAGTTGGCCTGAAATACATACATGCAATAGTTGTTGGAGACTGTGAATCTCATCACCACTTGTAGAAAGAGCGAATCAGTCAATGAATACCGAACAAATAGCTGCGGTAGCATGGTACAAACAAGAAAGTTCTGCTCCTTCTCACAGCGTACTGGCTTGGGCTGGGTCGGCACTACAGATACATTGCTTCCGCTGTAGAGCGTAGGCAGAATAAACATGCCTCCGCCTCGAAAAAGCTGTACAGATGTGCACAGAATTTCATTACATACAAAAGGAACCTCTTTAAAATTCCGGGTGTAGGTTCCTGTGCTTCCCTGCTCCGTACTGCAAGTTGCCAAATTTCGCCCTCAAGCAGAAAAGACAAGTTTTCATTGTAGCAGTGGTTCTTCTGTTAGTTATCCGGGGGCATGACACCAGAAGCAAAAATAAGTTCCGAAATACTGTGATCTGCATCTAAGAGCTTCTGGATCAGATGAGAGAAATGCCCATCCCATAGTTTCCCACTGTGTGCCAGCTGAAACTGCCATATGGTTTCCTATCTTACGTGCTCTAAGTGCAGCAGGCTAAAATACTTTAGGTAAAGTTTAATGAAAAAGTGTTTTAAATGGGTTTCCTTCTTTGAAAAGAAGAGTGGCATCAGCCTGGAGTCTAGAAAACTAAAGCTGTGAAAACTGAAAAACAGGAAACGCTAAAATGATGTTGTTTCTTGCTGTGTTGAGTAGAAATCCAAAACAGCTTCAGGCTGAAGCGTAATTTCAAGTCATTAGTGTTTCACTGCTGCAACAGCAAATATGTGAAGTTTTGCAATTTCAGAGTACCTGCTTTGGAAAAAAAAAGCTGAAACAGACAATTTTGATCGATGTAGTTTTATGCCTGTAATCACTGTTATTAGAGGTTCATCGGCTTGGCCAGGGGCTGACAGTCCCAGGGCAGGTCTGGCCCCATTCCAAGCTCGTGCAGCACCCACATCGTGTGCACCTCTGAAGCTGTGTGCTGATATCTGCTTGTGATCTCTCTGTGCCGTTGTCCAGCCCAACCCCAGGCAGAAAGTCACCTGGAGAAATGAAATCTCCCAAGCCTGTAAGTGCTGCTGGACTGACTGGGGGCGAGAGCAAAGAGGTTGCATCCCTCCCATTTTTGTACTGTAGGTTTCACGGTACATCTACACAAAAGAAATTGTCACCATCGATGAATGCAACGGATGTCCCTGGTGTTTAGCATGAAATCTTTGTTTTTAAGCTTGGAACTATTTTTCTTAAGAACTTTGAATTAATTTTGCTGCAGTTAATAGTATGTCTGATATCCTCCTGTTAGGAACCATTGTAGGTTTTCTGTTTCTTGCACAGTAGTTGAGCAGCGATTCACCCTTGGTATGTAAGCGTGCTGCAGGGGTGAGCTGTGTGCCTCAGTACTGCACATCTGCCAGCGAGGTTCAGTTTGTATCAGGAGGTGATCAGTACCCAGGCAGGAGGTAGATCAAAGGGTTCATTTAAAGGCAAAACAATTTAAACAAAGAAAAATCAATGAGATTTGGTTTAAGTTCTGCTTTGCAGGTGCTTTAGCCTTCTGTTTTTCTTCCTCTCTAATGTACACAAATCAAATGACAGCATTTTGGAGAAAATAAAGCTAGAAGGTGAGTCGGTGAGCTTCTCTGCCAGCTTCTGTGCATGTGATGTGAAAAGGGGCAGTGGAATTTGGGCATGTACAAAATCAAATGCAGAGCTGGGTAGCTTGGGTGGAGTGGTGGTGTCGTGGTCCAGACAATGAGAGATGGAAATGAGAGAGAATTTAACCCTGTGACAAGGATACCAGGATTTTGCTTTTGACAAGGTGGCGGTAGGGGAGAATGGTGCACCTTCTATGGCTCACTTTCTAGGTCCAGCAGTGGCATGCTGGTCTTCTCCTTGCTGGTGGTCTTGGTGGCGGTAGGGGAGAATGGTGCACCTTCTATGGCTCACTTTCTAGGTCCAGCAGTGGCATGCTGGTCTTCTCCTTGCTGGAGACCTAGGAAGTGACTGTTGTGCATGCATTCCTGTGTTTATTTGCAAAATACTTAATAGTACAAAATCAGTACATAATAAAAGGTATACTTTAATATGCATGAAGCCACAAAACAATAACATTGGTGTATATTAAAGTACATCCTGTTCTCTAGTGATTAAACTCCTGCGCATGTAGCATGTAGGATGAAGCCCTCTGTTAAATTGAACTTGGATGGAGACAGTTTTGAGTTGTGGATCTGGCTTCCCCAAAAGAATAGAAATGATGAAACCTTTGCCACAGAGTGAGATACTGCTGCTGGAATAATAAGTGGCTTATGTGTTGAGAAAGCAGGTGTCAGTGTAATGTGCTAAAGCAAAAAATAACCTTTTCCCCAAACATGTCATGTTTTGTTACCTGGTGCTGATTTAATTCCTCAGCTGTAGCTGGCTAACTAAAATGG